AATTGTCATTTTTTTAATATCAAAGCATGATATTAATTCTTCGTGTTCTTCTGAATTTTGGAGAAATCTTCTGAATTTTTATCTTTAGAGGTTGGCAGGTATGGTATAAAGGAAATGTGTATGGTTGAACATAAAGATCGTTCAGATGGCTCTGAATGGGTTTGTTGCAAGAAAGGTTTAAATGCTCACGATATAAAGCATTCCATTAGAAAATGAACATGGCTTGAGAAAAGTTTTTGGATGCTATTAAGGGATTTTGTGTGGTACAGACTGAAGACACTGAAATTTCTAAATAGGGTAAGTGGATATTTCCTTTGTGTAGTGCGTAGATGCATTTCCTTTTTTGTGTTCTTTCATTATTTGATTTAAAATGCAGTTTATTGAGATTATATATTTTTTGTTTCGCTGATAGTGTAGAATTAGGTGTTCCTTCGATTTTTAAGTGAAAGTCGATCGATCTGTACATGGACAAAGTCAAGTCAGTGCACAATCCCAAGCTTATGCAATTCTCCTATTTTCTTTCTAAGCGAAAATATATTGATGTGTACATGAACACCGAGTTTGTGCAATTCTTTGACTTGTTATTTTGGGTCTGTGTAGTGGCGATTGTCCAGTAAAGCGGATTCCGCCTTACTGGCCAACTGCCAATTTTCACCGAGGGGCTACCGTCTTTTACAGCCGAGTAACTTGCTGGGTTCATATGACAATTTTGGCCAACATATTTAATCATAGACGTTGACTGTTTATTTTTATCTTAATTCCTTTTGCTCTGGTTCGCTTTTTTTCACAAACAAATTTGTGATACATTTCAAAATGCCATTTTACAGACGATGTTGTACATATCACTGTTCCAGGGCATAAAACACACACCACTTTGTCGCCTTTACTAATCATGCCATATTTCTTGGTCCACCAAGTTTAAAATTCTCTGTTACACTTACTATCTAGCACTTTTTTTTTTCTTTCTGAACTAGCCATGTTAAATAACTGTTAAAAAATCTTAAATATAATACAAATAAACTAGATAAACTTTTTAAATTATTAGATGTGACGAAGTAAGCGTAAAGAAACTATGCATTATTAACAATTGTAGTCCGCGACGTAACTAAGGCAAGACAATAACAAATAAGTGCACTTTCCACCTGCTGCCCTGCACCCGATGATTCCATAGTGCAGGCTCATTCTTGTCTGATAGCATTACTTCATAATGAACTTTTTTATTCTTAATTAAAATGCAAACCATTTTGATCGGTGACATGCCCAAAATATTGTGTAGCTTGCTATTCGTTCACCATCCCCATCTTAGAAGATAAATTGAAGTGACCGAAGAAAAAAATAATATATGGCAACTTCTGTCATAAATTGGGCTGCATAATTAAATTTACATGTTTTTTAATGTATTTTATATATTTTGTGATTTAAAAAAAATTAACTTCATAGCATTTTTTAACATTTCTTTCCTGTACAGTTATTTGTATTTTTCATTTTTATAAAAAGTAAAACATTTAATTAGACATTGTTATTTTTTCTTTAAAAGATAAAAGTACTATTCTTGAGTGGTTTATAATAAATAGGGCATGCTCCCCATTGAGTGGTATATAATAAATAGCGCATCAACTTACACAACATGCCTAATTAATATCTGTTTCATACTCACTAGTGCTCTATATCTTAGATAAGATTTGCTCATTATCGCTCAGTAATTTTTGAAAGCTGAAGAATTTTGTATTCAAATACAAATACAAAAATTCCTTTTTTATATATGAAAATACATTTTAATGTAAGGCAGGAGTAATACCTAATATATGTATAATTTCAAAATATGTTGAACTAGGTATGTTGTCTGAAACCTGAACGTGTTTATGTATTTTTGTAATGCATATTTAATTCAAAGCATGTTTTCTTTGTTATTAATGATGTGTGTTGCACCTCAAATCAATTTATTTGGTTCTTTTCGATTTTTTTTTTTTTTTTTTTTTTTTTAAAGTTTTGTTTTGCTGTTAAGCTTGCTGTGTTTAAAAATCGTTTAGCTGCTTTGCTAATTTTAAGCTTTTGTAGCATAAAGTATTTGTTAAAAATATATAGATATGCATATAATAAAAGTAATGCCATAGTAATCTGATAGTTGCTTTTTCTCTGTTGCTGTAACATAAATGCTTTTTAATTTGTTTGTTCACTGAAAGTCAATAAATTACTAAAACATTTAATTTTTCCATTTAATATTTCTTATTCTAACATTTATCCTAAATTGCCATCTTTATTGTTTATGTTTAGTCCTGTATCTGCTAGTTAAAGAGTAAAGAAAATGGCAGTTAATGTAAATGGGAATCTTTCATTTACATTATATTTCTTCTCTTTTTATGCCATTGATTTCAGAGGACAACAACAAATTAATCCCGAAGTAAATAAAATAGTGAAATACCAGTAGTTAGATCTGGGTCAAGATTTCTTTGAATAGGTCATTTGTATGTAATTTTTGAAGTTTTCCTCATATATTTAGTAATTGCAAGCCAGAGATTCTTTGAAGGTCTTCTACAGAGGTATGCGGTATTTATAAATTAGTGTAATCATCTTGGCATTTTCTTGCAGAAGGGGGGGGACATACGAGGGCTATCCAGAAAGTAGATTACGTTTTGGAATAAAAAAATAAACAAAGTATAGGAAACAAATTTTATTATATACAGATGAAAGCCACACTCAAATACTACTTTTCTACATAGTCACCATACAAATTAAGGCATTTATCGTAGCGATGTACGAGCTTGGAAATTCCTTCGTCGAAAAATTCGGCCGCCTGCGCCTTCAACCACTTCGTTACCTCTTCTTGCAGCTGTGCGTCGTCATCAAAACGCTGCATAGCCAGCCACTTCTTCATTGCTGGGAATAGGTGGAAGTCGCTCGGTGCCAGGTCGGGACTGTACGGCGGATGAGGAAACAACTCCCACTTAAAAGATTCAAGAACTTTACGAGTGACATTTGCCGTGTGGGGCCGGGCGTTGTCGTGAATCAACAAGATCTTAGAGCTCAACATTCCTCTGCGCTTGTTTTGAATTGCTCTTCTGAGTTTTTGGAGAGTTTGGCAATACCTTTGAGAGTTTATTGTAGTGCCTCTTTCCAGGAAGTCCACCAAAATTACACCTTTTCTGTCCCAAAAAACAGTCGCCATCATCTTCCTTGCCGACATTGTTTGCATGCATTTCTTGGGTTTTTGGGGAGAACTTGTGTGCCCCCACTGCATTGATTGCAATTTCGTTTCACAGTTCACATGTTTCACCCATGTTTCGTCACCAGTAACGATGCGATCGAGTAAAGAGTCACCATCCTTATGGTAAGCGTCCAAAAAGTTCAACGCTGCAGCCATTCGCTGATTTTTGTGGTCCTCTGTCAAGATTTTTGGAATCCATCTTGCACAAAACTTGTGGTAACCAAGCTTTTCGCTGATGATTTCGTGCAACAAACTTCGCGAAATTTGTGGAAAACTCAAAGAAAGTTCCGTTATTGTGAAATTTCGATTTTCACGGACTTTAGCATCGACTTTTTCGAGAAGTTCGGCGGTCACTATGCTGGGTCTCCCACTTCGATCTTCGTCGTGAACATTGGTTCGGCCATTTTGAAATCTTATGACCCACTGACGCACTCCACCTTCAGTGATAATGTTGTCCCCATACACTTCACGAAGCTGCCGATAGATTTCTATCGGTTTACAGTTTTTTGCAGTCAGAAACCTTATTACTGAGCGCACCTCGCAGCTCGCGGGATTTTCAATTAACGCAGACATTTCAAACCGTCACAGTATCTGAACGGAGCACAGCACGAACCTCTCACTAGCACGGCTAGATGCAGACTGAGCTGCGCAACGCTCTGACCCCAAGATGGCCGCGCTAGCCCCGCCCCTAGCGGACACAGACGGAAACGTAATCTACTTCCTGGATGGCCCTCGTATAAATGGAAAAATGATTCATTGCATATATGTATGCTGTTACAAACTATTTTGCATACTATAATTTTTCCACAAAATCAGGTGATGAACCTACTTACAAATAACTAGCAGAAGTTTTGTGGCAATCATTTTAAAAATTGATTCAAAGCATTTGCTCTTATTAGCAATTTTGTGACAAAACATTACATTTATTAAGAAATTTTTCTGCATATTTTTTTTTCCTAGCCAAATTCAAGTAACAATTAAGTTTTAGAAAAACTATATTGTGATTTGTCTTTCAACTCTCCTGGTTTTACTAGGAGACTCTTTTTTTAATGATACCTCCTGGTATCTTCCAGTTCTTAATTTTTATCCTTTGTTAAGGAACATGTTTTTTTAGCAAAGAGTGAAATTTATTGAATTGATGAAACTTAAAATTGTGTGAATTCCACGCCCTTAATTATTTTGAGCGTAAGTTTTCTTATTCAGTTTTATGTAATCTTAATTTACCATAGATATTTGTAGAACCTTTTTTTTTTTTATGATTCAACCAATGTTTATAAGTTAATATTCATATTTAATTTTGTTTTCATCAACATATGGTATATTATTAAAGTTTAGCCATAATATAGTACATTGTACAGCTACTGCATAGTATTTTTAAAATAAATTTAGAAAGCAACTGTAAAGCAAAAATTGCTAGTTCTGGTATTTAATACTTTTTTTCTTGGATAAAAAAAACATTTATTATAAAATTTAATAGCTAAATTCCTAAGTTTTGGTAAGAAAGCTGAAGGAATTTCTGCAAATTTTCCACATGTTAATTCTGCCTGCAGAACATTCACGAATTCGAAATTTTATACCCAATCTTTATTTTTCTTAAACTCTGGCAAGTTGAATTTATTATATTTTGTTTCAATTATATTTCAAATATTTTGTTATTGTGCATATAATATTTACATTTGACCTAATGCTTTTGCATGTTTTTATTTTATTTATTTTATTTTCATTATTATTTCTGCATGCTTAACTGTGTTATTTTGTGCATGTGTATTTTATTATTTGTTACCCTTTATCATAGAGGTGCATCACACAAAATAATGCTCAAATTAAAGTTGATTACCAACAAAGAGTTGCCACACCCAAAGGTGGCCAGGTGACAGTGCCAAAAGTCATTCCACTTTCAGCAAATAAGGTAAGGAAATGCCATACTGTGTGTGCAACTGTTTTTTTTTTTTTTTTTTTTTTTTTTTTTTTTTTTAATCTATTTATTTGCATGTTTTCAAGTTAATTTTTAAAAACTGAGGGTTGGTGTGTGCACAAATTGTCACAGAAAAGTAATGGGGACTGGCTTTGTGAAATATGTTTTCATTTATTTCGAGTTACATGGTTTTCTATCTCCATAATTCTTCTGAAATACTTAAAGCAAAATCAGTTTTCATTAGTTCATTATTTTTCTGAATGTCATGGTCTTCATGGTGTCAAAAAAACATTTCATGTGAATTTTCAGTTTGGAAAGTAGGAAAAATTTGCATAGATCTGTAGAATGTGATGGTTGAGCAATTTCTGTGTGAGAGGCATTCTTGTGGTGCAAGACAGTAATCTTGATTCACATTTGCCCTTAAAGAAGGAAATCCTTATGACTAATACTCTGACTGGCAAAAGCAAATCAGTGTGTGATTATAGGGTCCTAACTGTGTAATATTATCTCAAAGTCTTTCTGATCCTTTTAAACTGCCAGACAAGTTATTGCTGTTCTGAAAATGTGTGACAAAGTCTTATAAATATATTATCTTTTAAATAAACCTTTTTATTTGCAATTGAATTTAACAAAAAATACAACTTATGCAAACATTCAGAACTCTGCCACTTGTAGGTATTACAGAAACATAAAGTTGCATTTACAATTTTAAAAGGGATAACACCTAAATTTTGCACAAATCTGGCCTAACTGAGCTGGCTGAAACTTTATTAGCACAATTTAACTTCGGGTAGCAAATGGCTATTGCCAGAATACAGAGCTGGGCGATAAAAAGTAAAGCTGAGAGTGTTGCTGCCAAAAGTTGTTTCTAAAACATTCAAAACCCTTACTTTAACTCATGTGCATCCTGGTGAGCATTAACAAAAAGGAGAATTAATAATATACTGACCCAAATCATAAAAATTGATTAATTAGCATAAAGTAACTTATAGTTTGATTTGCTTTTTTGAGAGGAGTATGTGATGAGCTGTTAATGTGCCATTTCTGGCTTTGACATTTTATTTCGAGATAATATTGGGATATTCAGAATTTGTGTCTGGTTGTCATTTTCTCAAAGAAAATAATTTGTCATTCTATAGGCTTATCAAAATAAATTACTTTCTGTAGGCCTATTCTAGCAATAGCCATTTGCTACCCAAAGTTAAAATGTGCCATTAAAGTTTCAGCCAGCTCAGTTAAGCCAAATTTGTGCAAAATTTAGGTATTATTCCTTTTTTAAATTGTCTTCTCTTCTTAAAAGGAAATAAAGTAAAAGTAAAAAAAGACCTAGTACGCATCTTATGCAGGCTTGATTTTTTAATTAAAATGTCATGATGCAAGTTTAATTCATTGCTAATATTTTTTTTTAATCCTTTGATAATGGTTACTTGAGAACTATTACATTTTCATGTAATTTGCATGTATAATTCTTCCAAAACAGCTGCTGTGTGTCTTTATTGCTGTCTGAAAACATGTACTTCCACAAAACATGGTCTTCAATTGCCCATTTTATTTTTCACTTGCATATTCCATGTGTTTTTCATCAAGCTTAATTACATAGCATCATTTCAAACTAATATTACATTCTCATGTTACAATGAGGGTAAAAAAACTTATACTTACAGTATGTTAATTGAACAGAAAGTGCACATGGCAAGAAGTAAAAGCATATTCTGAAATGTAAGGGAGGTATTATCAACTTTCTCCTCTTGAAAAGTAAGCTGTAGATTTGAAAGCTCATGCACAATAGAGTACAATATCAAAAATCCAGATGCTCAATATCCAAAATAATCTAAAATCTAGACCTCCAGACTACAAGCAAACTTTTTTTTTTTTTTTTTTTTTTTTTTTTTTAAAGAAATATTTTTCTATGCACATTGATATTTTTTCAGTATAAAACACATGGAGAGTCTCTATTCTTAACTTCAGTTTGGCATTTATTAGAATTGAAGAAATAGTAATTTATTAGCAAAAATTTCTATAATCAATAATTTGGCTCTATAATTGCTTTTTTGTTTTACATGCATCTCAAACATTCTACATTGAAATATCACAAATGATTGCATGTTATGTTTTGCTTTCATTTGGACATAACTGTCAAGATGCAGACATGGCTCACACAGTGATGTCTAAACTTTTTTTATAGTATATATTTGTAATTGAATACCAAAGAGCATTGTAATCTTTTATGTTGACTCTATGCTTAGGTATGATTACAGATTTCGGCTAACTGCTCTGCGAAATGTTGAATGTGTTGACGAGGAGAAATTTAACAGAAATTTCTTTCCATGTGCAAAAAATGGATTTTGTAAATGATATTTCAATAGCCATAGATATTTGTAGAAAGATTACATTTAGTGCTATTTGAATTAAGAATAACATAGTTTTTCAGATAAGCCAAGGATCAGCGAGCTAGGACGGCTACACTAGACATAAGACTATAGGGAAGGTGAAATTTTTAGAATTTTGGAGAGATGCTTGTCAGCAGAATTTATGACCTGTTGAGGTCGCATCGGGCCACAAAATGTTTAGCTCCTGCCCTGCATAAGCCTTAAAGCATATATGCGAATTTATTTATTCAGGACTCGGACAAGTCTTAGTATGTGTGAAAAATAGGCGTAAGTATACTAAATAAGTAAACTAGTATAATTCAAGCTGAACTTCGTGAACTTGTGATAGAAGCAAGACAAGATTTAGTGGAATGAGAAACAACTATCTTAAATTGCCAATTTCATGATGCATCACTAACAGTGTATAGCAGATGCTGTACTTCCTTCTTATAGTGACCCCTGAGACTGAATCACTAATAAATCAAGATATCTCGCCACCTGTTCTAATATTAGCATCAAATTTCATTTTTGCTAAGATTTTTTGTATTTGCATTTTTTTTAGTATGTGCTCTCTCTCTCTCTTTTTTTTTTTTTTCTTTTTTTTTTAATATGTGGTTAATTTTTAATTAGTAAATAAAGAGATGATTGCCATATCATCTTCTCAAGAAAGCGGTCTTTATCTGACAAACAAGTATGCAAAAATAGCCACAGCAGGGAATTATGTGTTAATGACTAAACCATTTTGAGGTGCAATGTTTAAAATCATAAAAAGAAGGCCTTTGTTAAAGTGGTTGATTCCACTTTGTGGCAGCATTTTTTATGATCCTGGCAGGAGCTCTTTTTGTAAAAAATAATATTGTGATTTGCGTTAATGACATAAAGCAAAATGTTCCATAAACGTACACGAATATCAGATCAGAACTTTCTGATAAAAGCTTGTTTTCATCAGGTGATGACCATAATACTCAAATTGAACATGTAAAAGTGCATCCGAGAAAAAGCTTAACAATGCATTATTTAATGAAAGTGATACTGACATTATGAATTGTTTTCATGGCTATATAATTATGGATAAAGACATATTGTTTACATTTTTGAAAGAGAATGTAATGTGCAAATTGTGCTGTAATTCTGTCAATATTTCTGAGAGAAAACCCTTTGGATTATTTTCAACAATTTCTGTGAAATGTGAAAAGTGTAGTTTTAAAACAGAATTCAATAATTCAAAGTTGATTGGTGAACACAAAAATGTTCCTGAATTAAACAGACGAATTGTTTATGCTATGCGATGCATTGGTCAAGGTCTGGAACCTCTGGAAACATTTTGTGGTGTAATGGATCTAGGTAAACCTGTGACACAGAATGCTTATGACAAAATCTGCAAACATATAAATGCAGCTTCAAAAACTTGCTGCAGGCATGCAAAACTGCAAATTCTGTCACAAAACGAGAGGACATACTTCACTGGAGTATGTTCTGTAATAGGTGCTGAAACAGGGAAGGTTTTAGATGTTGAAGTTCTCTCGTCCACTTGTAAAGGATGTGATCTATGGAAAGCAAAAAAATCTGGGAAAGCTTTCGAAGAGTGGCAAATGAAACATTTGCCAAATTGTCAGAAAAATCATATCGGTTCTTCAGGAAAAATGGAAGTCGATGGTATGATAAAAATTTTTCACAGATCAGAAGCTGAAAGAGGTCTCAAATATATTAATTATATTGGTGATGGTGATTCTAGAACATTCCCTGCTATACGTGACAGCAAACCATATGATGATGAAACTGTTTCAAAACTTGAATGTGTTGGTCACGTACAAAAAAGAATGGGAACTCGACTGAGAAAGCTAAAACAAGACTATAGATGTAAAAAGCTGGAGGACGGTAAACCTTTATCAGGCAAAGGACGACTGACATGACAGAACACCATGATAAATAGGCTGACTCAGTATTATGGAAATGCAATTCGCTCAAATGCTTTGTCAGTTGATGAAATGCGTAAGGGTATTTGGGCAGTTTATTTTCATACGAGATCAACTGATGCTGAACCGTTACATACATTTTGTCCTGCTGGTGCAGACTCATGGTGTAAATATCAACAAGCAGTTTCAAATGGCTCAGTGGGTAAATTTCATCATAAAGTGACTTTGCCATCTTCAGTCATGGATGTTATAAAACCTGTTTTTAAAGCTTTATCAAGTCCAGATCTTTTGAAACGATGCCTTGGTAGCTTCACTCAGAATCCGAATGAATCTTTTAATTCCCTCATATGGCAGATGTGTCCGAAAACTTCTGGATCTGGGAAACGAATTGCAGAAATTGCTGTATATGAAGCAGCAATTTTATTTAACATGGGCAAAAAGGGTAGGCTATCTGTCATGAGGCAAATGGGTATCCATCCAGGTATAAATGCAATAAAATCTCAACTTCGCAGTGATATGAAACGTGTAAATACTGCTAAGAAGAGAGCAATGCAAAACACTATAGAAGCACGAAAAGCAAGGAAAAGATCCAAAACAAGTTTAGAACATCAGCAAATTGATCAAGAAGGAATAATGTATGAACCTGGAGGTTTTTAATTTGTGTATATAAATATTATAAATAGTAACAGTATTTTGTGATAAGTTATGT